GATAGATCACTTCGATCGCTGCGAAAATCTGGTAAATTCCTAGTTCGCGAAATATTATTTTGATCTGAGTTGGTCTCGGAACCGTCTCGAGCGAAATTAGTCTGTCCGTTATTGGCACATGTGGCTCTATACAATTGAGTGAATGCCATAGTTATTTGTTCTGTCATTGATTGAAGAATGTTAGCTTGAAAGGCCTGCATTGAATTCTGAATTAGTTGTTCTACGCGGTCTTCTGTTACCACCCTCGAATCTGAGTTGTCCTCGATACGAACCTCCTGCAAGGAATTTTGAACATACCCTACACTCTGTTTAGCTGCGTTTCGAGAAGCTGAACGGGTTTTTATCTTGCCTCCCTGGAATGTAGTGGGAAGAGCCGAATGAGATCCTATGTCGGGTTGAGAGAAAGTTTGTAGATCTTAATTTAAATGGAGGAAAATCACATATATATATTTGTCCGATTTCCACAAAATAAGCTAAATCGGAATCAAAAGTAATTATAAGTAAATATACCTTAGCAAGTTTACATAAGTTCAACACTAAGCTACTGATACTCAAGAATTAACACGTTCGATCGTGTCGCGGTTGCTTTAGCGCGGCTACGCAAGCGGCGTCTGGAACAAGCAAATTCTTGTTCGGTCGTGTGGCACGCACAAGTCGAATGCAAAATGGTGCCTCGTGCACGAAGAAGCCTGTGTGTGCGGCAACGGGGGGCACACTAACTCGATGTGTGTGCGGCAAGGGGCGGCACACCACTCTGTGTGTGCGGCAGAAGAAGAAGAGTCGGGTGTACGAAGAGCTGCTCCCTGCTTCCAATGAAGAAGAAGAAAAAGTGCGACACCAACTCGGGGTGCTCCGATCTGCGCTCTTCTAGTAGCAGAGAGGAGGAAAGCACAGCTTCCCGCTGTGCGCGGCGAACGCTCCGTTTGCTCGCAGATATGAATGAATCTGGCTGCGATCGATGGCGTCAGTGAGGTTCCACTACACGTGGTCGGAAGTCAAGGGCGGAACAATGCAGTCAGGCTAGGGCTGCGCTGACAATCAGAGTTCCACAGAAATCTTCAATTCTTGGAACGTGGTACGGGCGGCAAGCACTATTTTCGGGAATCACTTTATTAGGCACTAGCGTTAAAACGCACTCGAAAGCTTACCCGCAATAATTAAAGCAGAAATTGAGCTAGGCAATGGCAGTATTCACTTTGGGAAAAATGTAACTTTTTGTCTCGATGCACGCGGATTAAAATTTAGCTTTGCAGAGAAGTTGAACTGCACTCGATCACGCCATCCAGAAAAGAGAACGGAAATGCTCAAATCAAGAGTGACCACAGCTACGATAGTCCGTTTTTAGGGGATTATTTAGGCATTTTATGAAAAGGAGTATCGAAACTACTTTTTGGCAGGACCGATAGTTTGTTAATCTGGTTCGTTGCTAAATATGTAACCAGAAAGTTTATTTTAGCGTTGCCAATCGGCTTGACTCCCACAAAGTACAGAGCGTACATCAAACTTTAAACGCGATTTCTGGGAAACGACATTTTTGGAGCAGGCGACCGTCATATCTCAGTCAATTTTTAACATTTTTTTTTTCAAAAACGCGTAATTGAATTGTCCATGGAATGGAACCATTATATAGATAGCTTACTTATAGGATTTTTTATCGACCAAAAAGTGACGAAAATTTTCAGTAAAAACGAAATTTATTTTTTAAACGCCGCACAGTAGCGCCTCTCGAACAATTAGCGTTGCAAAAATCGAAAAAGTCATGTTCGCAAAAACGGAAATTTAACAAGGATTCAGAATCTGCAATAAAATCAATTTTAAGATTTTTTTGTAGAAGTTATGAGCATTTAAAGTTGAACTTTGTTTCGTTTTTTGCATCATACAAAAAAATGTGTAAATTGGTCGACTTTCAGGTAATATTACAAAAAAACCATAAAACCAATGGTCATGGTTTTTACTTTAAATGATAGATACATTCATAAACTATTAAAGAACCTAAAAAAAACGACACTTTGGTTTGGGCTTCTACAGGTAAATCGCTACCTGCCAGGTGTCCATTTTTTTTCACCTTTTTCTGCCTAAAGTAGTCTATATCTTTTGACGCCAATGCCGGCCACTGACTACACTATGACTACAAGTTCCGTGGATCTTTCCTGGATCAGAATTAACTTTCATCGGCTGCGTCTGCGGAAATGCAATGCAAAAAACCAAAACAACTCAGGGTAAAATATACCAAAATACCATAACCGCCACTTACACGGTATATACTATATACCAAATTTAGCGCGCAACTGTTTTGCATCCCAAATACTTTCAATCTGTTTATGTTTTCTGTATTGAAGGACAAAACGTACATTTTAAAATGGGTTTGGAGGTTTCATATTTATACCTGATTATACTTCCAAAGGGGCAAAAAGAGTACTTTTAAAAAGAGGTAGACCATTTTGTTGTTTACAAAATAGTTTTGGGCTGTACTAGGTTTAATATTTATACCTGATTATACTTCCAAAGGGGCAAAAAGAGTACTTTTAAAAACAGGTAGACCATTTTGTTGTTTACAAAATAGTTTTGGGTTGTACTAGGTAAAAAATGTCTTACCTAAAAATTGCATAACATGAATTTGGGACATATTTACAAAGATGCACAGGTATAACACGTGCATGATGTAACCCTTTAAAAGACCCAAAACCGGGATATGGAAACTCAAACGATGGAAATACTTCTCGGAGATTTTTTGAAAATTGCCATGTTGCGGCAGAAATCACTGGAGTTGACGAGGAAATCATTCAAAGATTGGGTACGATCTTGAATGTACTCAATTGCAAGGAGAAAATTGATTCCGTAAAATATGGGGAATATGCTTCCATCACAGCTTCACTTTTGGCTCAGAAGTATCCACATAAAAGATTGACCCCGACAGTCCACAAAATTTTGGAACATGGTAAAGATATAATTGAATATCAATCTTTGCCTATTGGAGAACTTTCGGAAGAAGCTCAGGAGTCGCTGAATAAATTCTATAAGAAATACAAGTCATCAAGACTGATGCAAAATGAGGACCTGTTCAACATGTTGGCTGCATCATCTGACCCATTTATTGCATCTCTACGGCATGTAAAATCACGAAAAGAGATTGAATCAAGTGATTATAGTCCAGAAATGCTTAGTCTATTAGAAATTCCTCAAATATAAGCATATATTTAGTAATAAGTAGTCAAAATTAAACAAAAATTTAAAAATACTACAAAAAATTGTACAAAAAAAAAAAAAAAATTCAGTGTTCAAAATATTTTTATTTTATAAATTAAATAAAAATAAAGCAAAAAAATTAACAATCTTTTGTTTTTAAAAATTCGTTTTCATAGAAAAAAAATTATTTTTTCTCTTAGATACCCTATAAAATACCCTATTTGTGGGCGTGGCACATTATGCAGTACATATATAAATTTTACAACAATTACCTGTCCAATGCCGTTTAAATTATTTAGTTATCTCATTTGGTTCAAAAGTTATGATTTTTGCAACACGAAATGAGAAAAGGCGCTACTGTGCGCCGCCAGTTTGTTTTTTTGTATTTTATTTCGATAAAGGTAGTATATTCCATAACCAAACTCATACTAAACAAGAACATTTTAGAATTTTTTGTTTCAGACGATTTTTACGACCTGTAGAACAATCACCAGAGGGGTTATTTTTTCGCGCATTGGCTTATGTCGCCCTGTGTCCTGCTTCACGATATGCTTCAAAATTTTTGAAATTTTTACAAAATCATCTTTAAACTATCATGAATATACTTGAAAAGTTTGAAGTACCTATACCACAAAAAGTTCCTTAAAATTCCCTTTTTTGTACACAACTATCCAGAATGGACCCTTAAAAAGCTTTGGTGGCGCTTTTAAAGCTTTTAAGGGGGGGGTAAGGTTAATTCGGTGCAAAAAACGCCACTTTTCAAAAAATTATTGTGGCGGAACGGCTAAAGTTAGCTTAATGAATTAAATACCATATAATAACACAACATTTGAATAATTTTTGATAAATTTTGTATTGAAAAATATTTAGAGGTAAAGAAGTTATAGGGAATCTCCAGACTCGCCTCCAAAAAAGTTGTTTTGCGGTGTACATCCTAACAGTCCACAGGATCATCCGATCTAAAAAAATTATACCTCATTCGTTAAAGGATAAGTGTCCCGAGGTATTCACGAAGTTTTTTTTTTTTAGTTTTTTTGTGATTTTTTAGGAAATTTGAAAGTCAAAAACCCGATTTTTGACTAAAAAAAAAACGTTATTTCTTAATTTAAAAATATATAAAAATTAAAAATTAAAAAAAGGCCGACGTGAATACCTGAGGAATTAGTTAAAGAATGTGTGTGCCAAATTTCAAATCGATCGGTCCAGTAGTTTTTCTGTAATCGTGTACACCGATTTAAAAAATTGAATTTTTCAGGAGAGCGCTTTAAACTTTGTGATTCTCATGCATTGAACACCAACCGACCTTCGTTCAACTCTGCATAACTTCGTCAATTTCGTTCTGATCGATGTAAAACTTGGACACAATATTCTTAAGATGTTAAACTTTAAAAATAAAAAATAAAAAAAAATTTACGAAAAAAAAAATTAAATACCTTACCCCCCCCTTAATTAAAATTTTTATAATGTATTTACTATAAGGTTAAAATAAGAAAAACAACGATATATTAACATAGAAAAATCGACTTTATGCGAAAAAAAAAACCTAATCTGGACCATAGTACACCGGTGAAAAATTCGAAATCTATTTTTTTTTTCATGATTAATGAAAAATGTATCTAAAGCTTATTAAGTTAAATAAGTCGAGTCGCTGGGGTTCCCCATCAATGTCACAATTTTGCATGTTTACCTCTTCGGCAGTTTGCCGATGTCCCCGTGTTTTGGAAGTATCCAAAAGAAAACCCTACTGTCCTTCCGTTATCCCCAATTTAAAAACCATAATTCTTAATTGTACGGGCTTAGAATAATTTTGCGTATGAAGTTTAAATTTTATATTTTAATTGACTTAATTATATGTTAGCTAAGAATTCTATAAACTACTTATATTTAATTTGCAGTTTCGCAGGCATCGACCCAATCGTTGTAAACATCAATGGGTTCTGAAAGAAAGTTTATTCCAGTTTGGAAATCTTCCAAACACACTCGGCATGTTATTTTTGCTGTGTTCCTGCCCTTGTCCCTGAAATATAAAATAGAATTAAAATAAGATAAATATATAATATATACTAATTTTTAAACTTTTTCCAAAGCCTAACAAAATATTTTAGATTACCATATTTTGTATTCACTTGCAGTTTGAAAACACAAACCAATTATAGGTTACTTGTTTGAACAATTTCCTGTTTGTTAAGTAATAGTAGATATTCATATGTTAAAAATCAACGAGGATTAATTATTTTATTGTCATTTTTCAACTTATGCAATATGCAAGTTGCAATAGAAATTAAAAGATGATATGGTCATTATAGATATATCTATATATATTCATTATTCGTCGTATGTATTATATTGCCCGCAATAGAAAAAAAAGAAAAACTACTGGGATAGTTTGCCCGACAGATATAAATAAATCGACTTTGCTCTCGATGTTATCAAGAACAAGTATATAAACTTTGTGAGTACTGAATATTACCCTTTCCACTTTATTTGTGTTCTCTTGCAGTATATTAAAGTTTTATAACAACCTACAAGGGCAAACAAATAAATAATAGATCAATGTATACTAGTTGTGATATTAAATTAAAAAGTAAGTAACTGGCGATCCAAAAATGGAAATTTAGGAACTCTCTAGCAAAGCAATTACGACAAATTGTTTGTGTGATGCTATCAGATAATTTTAGTTCAACTTTTATGAGATGTTTCTACATTCCTCTATATTCCGAATTTGCCATTTATTAGAACCACCTTTCCTTTCCAACTGAAGTTTCCTACAGACATTCTTAGTCAACTACTTTTCTTTCCTTTAGTAGTTTTAGGTCTTTTTAACATACCTTTGCCTATTTGGCGCTTAAATAATTCCTCAACTACTTTTCTAACTACAACACAAACATTATTTTATTGCTGGCTTGTTCACAAGTCAAACATTTACGTAAGGAATTTCGCTTTAGCGCTTGCTTTATCCGGTGAAAGTCAGTTTGTTTTCTACTATCGATGTGACTATCCCCAACAGTACTGAAGGTGTCGATTGGCCATGCCTGAACTAGATACCCATTACTTCTATTCACAAAAAAGGTAGCAAATCAGCCATCCAAAAAGTGTTCAAGGCTACACATTTGCACAGCACGTGTGAAGAGCAGTTTTTTCTTAGTGGGGTTTAATAGGCTAATATCAAAAACAACTACCATTCACCATTCACTCCTTGTTTAATTTAATGGAGTTTTTGATTGATCTCAAGTTAACTGATTGGTAGAACGCAAAAAGGTCCTTTTTAAAAATAATCGGTTTTCTATGTTACTTGTGGCGCCCGGCAATGAAGCTATTTGGGCACCTTATTGTTTACATTATTTACGGATTTCCTTTTGCCATTTGGCTGGCGGATTCAGACCCGTAAGTCCGGAAACTAAATATTTTAAAATACTAGTCGATTATGTAAATATCAAATATTCATTTTACATAATTATCTGAATATTGCACAATGGAATTAACTAAAGTTTACCTTGACTTTTAAATAAATATTTTAGTTATATAAAATATTATTCGGTTGCGCCTTAAAATCGGTTCGAATAAATAGTCGGATCTAAAGATTGTCAGCATACCAAAAATGAAGGAAATGTTCCTAAGATTAATTTTAACCTATTATTTTTTTATGTGTTTTACAATTGAAAGATCGGCAATTAGCTTAAAGTTTATGAAAGAGTGTTATTGTTTAAAATACCAGCCCTTTAAAAACACATTGGAGTGAACTCTGTGGAGTGAAGTTTCATAGTGTCTGTAGAAGTTACAGCTTCGGGAGTAGGAATTTTAGTCTTCGAGGGTTATATAATCGTGTTGAGTGAAAGACCATATCAAAACATAATTGGAGAGCATATTTGGACATATTATGCCTCGATACGAAATGGATCTTCCAACAGTATAATGCTTCTCAGCGCACGGCGCAGATTGTGAAGGATTGGCTGGGTTATTATGGTCGCCAGAAAATATTTTCACCACAATGAAGTCCACATTTAAATATTGTAGATCACGTATGGAGAATTTAGGAGAATTTTCACCACAATGAAGTCCACATTTAAATATTGTAGATCACGTATGGAGAATTTTGGAGCTGAAAGGTCGAATCGCCGCAATAAGTAGTATTCCTATCCTTAAACAGAGGCTACAGGAGGAGTGGGCTAAGATAAAGATTCAGGAGCAGGATAATTTGGTGGCTTCGATGCCCACGAATACAGGCTAACTGCCTGTTGCTGCTCATGGTAACCCAAATACTATATTTACGTACACTTTTCTCATTGCCATTTGTCTTTTATTTTTTGTTTATAACTTAAAAAGTTTATGTTGAACACAAATGAAATTTTGGTTGTTGTATAGTAATAACATTTCAAACAAGAAAGGGAGGTAACTTCGGCACTCCGAAAGGTATACAAATAATTTGGTTTGTTTAAATGCTGCATACGCCTAGTAATGACTTTTAAAGTTCATCTTTAGAACTGTGCCAACAGTTAAGTGCGTCACTGTATATACATATGTATGTATGTACATACATACAGTGGCTGACAGCTTATTTCGTGAAGAGGTAAGTTTTAAATTCAAAACTATTCGAGATAGGTTTAAGCATTTATTAAAGCACTTAATTATTTTTGAATTCCACTACAGAACGCTAAAAACAAAATCTTTAAGGTATTGGATATTTTCATTTCACAGCTTATTTCGTGCATGGAAGTTTATCTTAGATATTTCGATTGTTACTAAACTTAATATTTTTTTCTTTATTTTATTTAATGAAATCCTGTAAGCGAGTTTTAATTAAAGAAACCGACTATACTGAGGTCTCCTTTGCAATCTTGGCCCACTTTTCCAAGGGGCTGTTTGGGATCATTTTCATTAGACATCGGCCTCTTGCGGATGCCCAGATCCAAAATTGCCCACAAATACTCAATGACGATAAGGTGTGGTGAATTGGCAAGAGCATAAACCACGTGAGGACAGTTCCAGATCAACCATGCTACTACCGCCACAGTGCTTGACTTTAGGTTCTTGTAGTGGAGGTCTGAAATGGGTTATTTTTAAAAATACTGCACTTCGTCCGGCGTCATAAATGTTGAATTAGGACTCGTCTGTAAAAATAACTTAATTTCAGAACGATAGCTAATGAATTATATGATTCTTGGCCAATTTAAACCTGCACTTCGAATTTTTCTGGTTTATGGTAACTTTACTTTTAAAATTGTTTTCTCGCAATAAGCAGCGGTTTCCACAGAATACTTAAGGGGGTCTCCACAGAATACTTAAGGGGGTCTTCTCATTGGGCAACTTTTTTTTCGATTTTTTTTTTGCATTTATTTATAGCTTGGGATGGTGTGTATATGTCCCCAAAAGGATTTTTAGAAATTCGAATTACTTTAGAAGATACAGCCTTTTTTGTGAAGCAAGTTCTTTGCAAAATGAGCTTTTTTCAAACATCAAACGCGTTTATCTCGAAACCACGTTTTTCGAACTGGCGGCCATGATATCTCCAGTTCAACTGAACCGATTTTCATGAAACAAAGTGGCATCGACGCAGAATTGTCACCATTCTCGGGTGACAGAACAGATTTTTTTTTAATTTTTTTTTCTATTTTTTTTTTACACTAATCTACAAAAAAAAGCCTGAAATCGAGAATTTTTTTTTTGAATGGCCGCCATTTTGTTTTAAAAATTAAAAAAAAAATCTGTTCCGTCACCCGAAAATGACATCAATTCTGATTATAACCCCGTTTTTTTTTTCATTTCGGACGCTCTGGAGACCCTGAATCGTGGCCGCCAGGACGACACCCTTTTTTTCGACTACCAAGTTTGAAGTCTCATTACTCTTTGAACAACCCTCGTATCGAGGCAAGAACAACTTTTTTAGTTACTTTGAACATTTTTGAATACAATAAATAAAAAAAGTTTTCAATTATTCGTTGCGTTTTCAAATAAGAATTTTTTTAAAAAGGGTCCAAAAAACGGGGTTTGAATGAGAAAGACCCCCTTAATAAAAATTTGGTTTAGAGCACCATGGCCGAAGCCTTTGTCTGCCTCCCGATTTTCCTGATTGAACCGTTGGATGATTTACTAAACAGCACTAGGACTTAGGTTAACCAACTTATGTATACATTTTAACAACTTTTTCCATTTTTAAAATGATTTAGGATTAATTTCCGCTACGCCTTTTGGTAATACAAAGAAAACATGTATGAAATTCGAAATCGCAGCTTATTTCGTGCAGTCAAAAAACGAAAATTTAAAACGTTCCTATTGAACGTTTGAAGATAATCCAAAAATTTTAACGCAGTACTTTTAGTCCTTGTAATTAAACGAAAACAATTTTGAGGGATTTTTGCATGCCGCAGCTTATTTCGTGCACCTTGTTTTTATGTTTATTGATTTATTATAAACAATTTTGTGTGACCTCTTGTCTTATTCTGAATACCTTTCAGAAGATTTGTCAATTAAATTAAATAGTTTTTTTAGGTTTCTAGATTCATTTAAATCAATTCCCCTAAGGCACTACAATTTTTTGTCATTAGGACCGTTTTGTATGAGCTAAAGCTTCCGAATGTCCGATAAATAGTAGGGGCCGTTGCACTAGTAGTTTGGAAAACTATCCCGGATGACCACGCTTTCTACATTTTGCAACGTGTTCATCTTTTATATTGAAAAGAACGTATTGGTTTCCCATATCCTGCCAAATAAATTTGGTTTCCTACTCCATTAAGGCCAGACACGATCGACGCCTTGCTTCACAGTAGCTGGCAAGTGTTTGGTTTCTAGCTTAATATTGGTTCTCCGCCAATAATTTTGACTACCATCAGGATTAAATTAGTTAATCTTGTACTCGTTGGTAAAGATAAAAACATTCCAAAAGAAAATCAGCCGAATTATAAGCTCCAATGAAAACTTTAGACTACTGTGTTGGATTCCTTTTAAATGGCTCTCTTCATGCTAATAGGATCATGATAGAATTGTAATGGTCCAGTGTTCGCCCGTTTCAGTATTCGTTTG